ATGGAGCACTTCTGGTTGTTCCACTGATTAATTGTTTTCACGGTTAGGAAGTTTCTCCTTAGTACGAGGTTGGTTCTCTCCTGGTTTAGTTTCTATTCATTGTTTCTTGTCTTGCCTTCTGGTGCCTTCAGAACATAGGTTGACGCCCTCTTCTTTGTGTCAGCCCCTCAAATATTGGGATACTGCTATCACATGCTATATCTTTTATCTCTTTATTTATGCCTAGTCCCTAGCCTAGCACTTCTCAATCTTGGTGACTTTAAAATGTGTTGATTTCCGGAAGTCTCCAGATCCACCAATGTGATTTTTCTCCTTGGTGGTTCCTCGATTAGGACTGTTTTCTGCCTGATTGTTTGTCTGGTGTTAATGCCTGCTTATCTAAGCATAGGCTGATGGAGAGGATGTGTTTATAAAGTTATATAGAGTGGAGTAGAGAGAGCCGTTTTACCCTCGATCAGTGGTTACCAACCTTTTTTTCGCCCCACACCCCTAAAGAAATTTCACTCGAACCTCGCACCCCCTGAAATTTAGACTTTAGGAACTACTGAACGCGTTAAATATATGGTAGGATTGAATCTTTTCAGCTATGTATGTGACGGCCACTAAATAACGATACTTAACTCTAAAATGAAAACAAAGTTAATCCATTGCATAATAAATAAAAATGCCAACATATAGCCAATATCCTATTATTTACCTGGACTTTTCTCGTACCCCCTGGAATATCATCTCGCACCCCCAGGTTGGGAACCCCTGCCCTAGATCGATGTTTCTCAAACTTGCCAATCTTAAGATGTGTGGATATAGCCTCACTGGGGAATTCTGGGAATCAAAGTCTACACACTTCAATAACTGCCAAGTTTGAGAAACACTGGTCTAGAATAACTCAAGATTAAAAAGAATTTGGTGGCTTCTTTTAAGACAAACTTTAAAAAAAAGAATTAGCCATGATCTCTCCACCTTAAAACAAAGCGTTTTGAGTCCATCTGTTGCCTGGCTCACAACTTGAGTCTTAGATTCTCATGATGCAATGCAGGAAAAGTTGGTGGGGCCCCAGGGTTGCTAGGAAATCATAGTGTTTTCAAGTTTGGGTGAAACCGTGAAATCATGAGCCAAGTTTGCAAACGCTTGGGCCAAACTGTGATGCAGCATAGATTGTTATGAAGAACGGTTGCAGGAATTGTGTATGGCCAGTCTACAGAAAAGAAGGACTAGAGGGTGACATGATAGCAGACTTCTGGTATTTGAGGGGCTGCCCCAAAGAAGAGGGAGTCAAGCTATTCTCCAAAGCACCTGAAGGCAGGACAAGAAACAATGGATGGAAACTAATCAAGCAGAGAAGCAACCTGGAATTAAGGGAAGAAACTTTCTAACAGTGAGAACAATTAACCAGTGGAAGGACTTGCCTTCAGAAATTGTGGGTGCTTCCATCCCTGGAGGTTTTCAAGAAAAGACTGGACAGCCACCTGTCTGAAATGGTGTAGGGTCTCTTCCTTGAGCAGGAGGTTGGACTACATTACAGGGGTCGCCAACCTTTTGGACCTCAGGGACCACCAAACTTATAATTTTAGATTCCAGGGACCACTAACCGGTTCTATGGGCATGGCCTAATTTGTGGGTGTGGCTTGGTGGTCATGTGACTGGCTGGGCATGACTTGTGTGTAAATATTATAAATATTGATATAAATATTGATTATTTTTTTATAAAAAAAGAGCAACTTTTACCCAAAATCAGGCAAAGCAGGCAGATGGAGTTGCTCACAGAATCACAGATTCATTCAGAGATCTACCTATCTGCCATCAGCTAGCTCAGTCTGTCACATAAAATTTGCTTGCAAGCAAACTCACAAAATTAACTCACAACACGCCATGCATGTAAATGTTGAATTTTTTATTTAAAAAAAAGAGCAACTTTTACCAGGGGTGGGATTCAAATTTTTTAACAACCGGTTCTGTGGGCATGGCTTAGTTGGTGGGCGTGGCTTGGTGGTCATGTGACTGGCTGGGCATGGCCAACTCAATATCATTCACATTGAGGCACACTTCTTGCCTGGTCTCTCGTGACTGTGGGGATGCTGCAACAGTTGTAAGTGTGAAAAAGGGTCATAAGTCACTTTTTTCAGTGCCATTGTAACTTTGAATGGTCACTCCACACGAACAAAGTACCAGCAAAGGAGGAAAAAAAAACTCCAGAGAAGTTCCAGAGACAGGAAGTCTAGTCCTGCCAAGAATGTAATAAGGGTTAATGGAGAGGCAGTTTCTGTAAGCAACACCAGAACATTTCCTTCCTGCCTTCCTTACAGGATTAGGCCAGTAATTTCTTCTAACAACTGGTTCTCTGAACTGCTTAGAATGTTAACAGCCGGTTCTAGCGAATAGGTGCGAACTGGTAGAATCCCACCCCTGACTTTTACCCAAAATCAGGCAAAGCAGGAAGGCAAATTGAGTTGCTCACAGAATCACATATTCATTCAGAAATCTTATCTATCTGCCATTGTCTAGCTTAGTCTGTCACATAAAATTTGCTAGCAAGCAAACTCACAAAATTACCTCACAACACACCATGTATGTAAATATTTATTTTTTTATATAAAAAAGCAAGTTTTATCCAAAATCAGGCAAAGCAGGCAGGCAAATTGAGTTGCTCACAGAAACATTGAGTGATCTATCTATCTGCCATCGGCTAGCTCAGTCTCTCAAATTTGCTTGCTGTGAGTCTGCACTGAATTTGCTTACAAGCAAACCTTCAGTCCTAAGGGAGATTCAGTTGTGCTTCGCTAGAAAGCAAGAAATCCAACCATTTCCTGCTTCCTAGCTAATCTAAATCTCCCAGCACAGCAGAACAGATGATGGTCGGAAAAAGGAAAAATAGCAATTTAGCAGACAAGTTTTCCGGATAAGGAGTAAGTGGGTGGGGAGGGTTCCGCGGGCCTTGTGGGCTGAGCAGCCTTGTGTTTCTGTGCAGCCTGGATTAATTGCTTTTTGGGAGGGTGCTCTGGGGGTGAGATTTCTCTGTGGCCCACCAAAATTTTCTCGTGGCTCACCAGTGGGCTGCAGCCCACCAGCTGACGACCGCTGGACTAGAAGATTAGGACATATCAAATTGGCACATTCCTGGTGGAAAACCGGCTCTGTTGCTGCCGGTTTTTCACCCAATTAAAAGTCAAACTTTGTCCCTTCTCCCCAGAGTCTCTAGTCACATGGTCCAATCAGCATATAGCCAGTTGCTAGGTGATCTCAGTCTCCACCCTTTGAACACCTGCACCACCGTCCTTGATTCCCAGGGGAAAGAATTTTATTTAGGCTACAACCACAACCCCAGCTACCTCTACTACACCTCCCTCCCTGCCCACCTTGCTCCAGGCTGTGTCAGCCCTGAAGCAGTGAGAAGAGAAACCTCCTTATAGAAAACTACCAAAAGGAAAATGGGCACAGTTTGGTTGGCCAACTTCAGGGTTGACAACTGGGAGATTTCAACCATATTGGTTGAATTGAGATGGGAGTCTATAGAATACGCCCTTAAATTTCAGAACGGCTGTAGACTTCCTCCCAGCAACTTTGAAGGCAGCAATTTGTCCTACTGATGTACCTGTGTGCCCTCTTTCCACCTGCTCCATTCCCTGCCTTCCCTTCCAACATGACAGAGGTGGTATTCAGCAGGTTCTGACCAGTTCTGGAGAACCAGTAAGCAGAAATTTTGAACCGGTGGTAACCTTCCCCCAGAAGTGGAGAGGGAATGGGGATTTTGCAGTATCCTTCCCCCGCCATGCCCACCAAGCCACACCCACCAAGCTGTGCCATGCCCGTCAAGCCACGCCCACAGAACCCGTAGTTAAAAAATTATGAATCTCACCGCTGCAATATGACAAGGGTTAAATTGCTGGAGATGCTTTCACTGCTGCAAATTTGGACCGGAGCGCTTGTAATTTTCATGTGGAAAGATTGGGCTCCTGCACTGCCTGCCAAAAACTTTGATTTGGAGAGGTTACAAAAAAATGCAGCTCTCTCTCGTAACTTTGCAAAAACATTTTACTCCGATGCGGAATGAAGTACAGGCCACGCCACCTGATCCTGGCCTGTTGTGTTGTGTTTTGTTTTTCTCTTCCCAGGCCTTTTTTTTTTTTTTTTTTTAAAGAGTGATGTAGCAGGCAAACGTTATGCAAGCCTGTAATTATTGTGAGTTTCTTCTTCCCCAAATGGCTTAAAACATAGAGACATCCACCCTGGTGGTTAGAATTACTGTGTGATTTCTTAATTCCAGGAATTCTTCTAATTGTTTTCATCCCTGGTAGATATTTAACACGGTTTGGATCGCTGCCACGAGAATATGATACCTGGGTTGTTTTTT